CCTCCTGAACACAGACAGGGGCTACGTCGAAGAAACTCCATTTCACGACAAATTAAAAGATGGCTTAATTCACAACGAAGAGTTCTGACTGCCGTCTTATTATTTTAGTACTTATAAATGTTCCTTTTATGAACTACCAACTGCACCACTGTTCGAGCGCCCAGTGGACGTATAATTGAACGGATAAATAAATGACATTCAAGTGAGTAAGCCACTTACAGCATTTGGGTTTAACCTCAGGTAGGGGAAGGGTGCTGAGGTAAGATTTGAGCAATTTTTGTTCTCCCTGGGTGTTCCTCTCTTGGGCTTAGTCCTAGATTCACCCACCACCCTTTACCCACCTACCCTGCCTTGTTTTAAATCTTCGCAATGAGCGCCCAAAAAAACTATATAGAAAAACAGTAGAGGGATTCAAACAAATTCCTCATGATCTTTTTGTTGTTTATTCGCTCAGTTGGTTATAATGTTCTTGTACTTGACTTGGAAACGGCTAAATACACAAATGATAAATAAATATAAACACACACTCCAATCACTGCGTGAAACGAAGGATCAAACAATTGGTAATAAGAAATATCCTCAATATTGCTGTTTCATTCCCCGGCCTGAACTCAGGCATTATAACACCCCTAGCCTTAACCGCTACATTGTAAAAATAATGAAAACGGACTAACTCACCCTAAACGACGGAAAATTACAAAACTGTTGCGCAGAGCAGATAGAAAGACGCGAATTGCTTGCGAACGCAACTGTCACGGTATCTGATCACCTCTGCGTGTCTGCCGGATCGGCAGGCGGAAGCAGAGAAGCAGAGTAAGACGGCGGTTTCGTTGACGGACATTCGGGTAGAAGAGTCAAAGTTGAGCTTGCCGAGCTTTTCTTTGTCTAGGGTCACGGTATTAAGAGGGGCTCTTGAGAGGTTGGTGTCGCCTACAGTGATCCCCACTTTTCTAGGAGCATAAGCAGCGGAGGACATGTAGGCGGAGGCGCAGTGGTTTACACTCTCAGAGCTTTTTTTGGTTGCAAAAATGGTATCGCCAAAAAATGGTACCGTATGTCCAAACGGACTACTGTACCGCATGTCCCCTCCCCTTATTCAGACAGACGCAAGCCCAGTACCAACTTATGGGTGATTTTGGCTCCCTGTACAGTCTGTATCCGGCTGCTAGAGATGTCTGTACTACAGACTCCACAACAGAAGTGGCGACAGCCACCAATAAATCGCACCTAGCCGTTGGATACAGAGGAAAGCTTCAGTGCTATCTATTATTAGAGTAGTAAAAGGCTTTTCCAATCTCGATGGCGGTTCTTTTTACAAATGTCGCCGTGGTGATGAAACAAAGGGGAAATGAAACGCGAGAATCCTGACCAGATGAATGCATAGGGCATGCCTAATCAAACTTGCTATTCATTATCATTCCGCTCGTGACGACACGTTCCTCATGGAAAATGTGGTGTGATATTGTCATGAATTTTCGTCGGATACGGATCAACATCATCCTTTCCCACTCGAGTGGCCTGTTCATGTTAGAAGCTTCCTGGATGTGACCTTATTATTTCTCACAGAGGGGAAGTTGGTGTCCGAAGTACGTCGACGAGACTGGGTGCGCGACTACCGAAATGGGCACGGCCGTCGCACCCGCCCACCGCGAAGTGACAGTTGTCTGCGACAAAAAACCGTCTTTCGAGAATCGTCGATTTTCGAGTGGTCTGTCGCGTTGCTTCCACTTGCCTTTAACAATGTACAGCTGTCTGACTCAAACTATCGTCGGTTTTCGCGACTCCTTGCTACCCCCCCCCCTCCTATTTATTGTGTTTGTTGGACTTTCAGAACAGCACACGTTTATTCGTCTGTTTTTGGCTTGATTTGTGAGTAAGAACCCAACTGGCGATTGTACCCTACAAAACTTGTTCTAAAAGTCACTGTTGGTCACGGAGACGGCTCTGATTTTCGGTGCTGTCGTCTACGATCCTTCCTGCCCCTTTGGAGAAACGCCGACGGCAGTGAACTGGGGCAAGATGGGACCGGCTCCAAAAATGACTGTTATTTAGGGGGCCAAAAAGACATTTTTTCCCATTTCGCTTCAGCGATTTTTTCGTAGAGTGGCTGCCGTCGTTAAAGGATTTGTCACGGCAACATGTTCCTCAAATGTCCCGTCTGAGTGGATGGAATCCCTTCTTCATTGCGCTCACCATCTCCAGAATATGACGTCATCTGCCATCGCCGTCGAGCTCAGGGAAGCCTACCGTAACTGCTCTAGCCTATAGCTCTTACATAATTCCTTGCATCGATTCACTGTGGGAATAGTTTTCTAGAGACATTAGCTCTAACTCTGATAATCCCCTATTAACAAGCATTTCAGAAAACGTCGTAGTGGTACACGTCCGTCATCTAGTTGAGCTCGACTAGTGCACCATGTTTCCGGGGCAAAATTTTCTGATGCCATCCACGTAGCCGCTAATATACAATTTACTTTATAAAATAGGGCGGAAGTGGTGTAGTGGCAAGTGGCACGCTCACCACGCGAGCGGTCCGGGGATCAAATCCTGGGTCGTGAGTCGCCCGGGCCAACCAAGCCTTCCATCCCTCCGGGGTCGGTTAATTGGTACCAGACTTGTCTGGGAGGATAAAAACACTGACTTGAACATCGGCTGGCCCCGCAAGTCATTGTATAGGCCACATCGCATTCAAACGCCACTACGAATGTACAAATGGAAGTAGAATGCGTGCCGCATCCCAAAAAGGGATTGATCAACGGCAAATGCTTTATCCTTTATCCTTTATGAAATGAATGGCTTTTAAAATCAGAAGTGGGAGCGCTCCGTTTGAATTTGGCAAAAAGGGACTAAATAGATTTCAAGTGGAGACAAAATGTCTTTTTTATTGCTTCCCCTCTGTGTTCGTTCAAGAACTTTTGGCTCTAAATAAGACCCGATGTACCTAGGTGGAGTGGCATTATGGTTTAATGTTCGTGTTCCTCCAACAACAAAAACGAAGGAACCTCTCTCCAGATCAACCGTCAGTCGTGAGCTCAGCAAATGGGGGGGGGGGGAACGGGGGAGAGAAAAGCTCACCGGCGGCGCGGACGCGAGCGCGTGCCGGTGACGTCAAAATGACGTCGCAGCTGCGACAGATTCGAAGGAAGGGCGAGCAGTGGTCAGCGCCGCTTCTAATTTGCTTGAATAAGGCTGGATTACATTAGGAATAACAAGCACTTGCGCCGCAAGCGAATTGATAATGTTTCGTTTAGGTACCATATTTTCCCTAGGAAGTAATTTTTTTTTGAAAATTCATTTAGAAACCCTTAAGAGTACACTGTCGATAATTTGAATAAATTGAGTGTCCTTCGTGTTCGATTCCTACCTTACTTCTGGTTATCACACATTGAAGTAAGGCACGATAGATGCTCTATGTATTCAATGTAAAGTAATGGTGGCAGCCGTTGCTCGTTCCCTCATCCGCCGTTGTGACGTCACCAACACGCGAGCGCGCTCGCGCCGCCAGTGAGCTTTTCCATGGCACCGGGAGGAAAAGGGAGTCGTATCTGGGATTCGTGGAAGGAGTTCGAGCTTGGTTTTTTTCAAAGAGGCTCCAAGGGGAATGGTTGTATTGTAGTGTGTGGAATGTGAAGAGTTAGCTATTTCAGGAACATACATACCTTCTACTTCTCTGCACCAACCTGAGCTTGACGCATCTTGTTTTGGGAGCGGATTTCTGGTGATCAAATAATGGTGGTTCAACTTTCAAATTTAATTGATGTAACTAAACTGATGAAAAAATTCCGCATGGTGCTGGAGTGGCA